AGTTTGTTGGGGGGGGGGGGTGGTTTGTTTTGGTTCCAGGTGGGTTTTTTGGTGAATCCTTGCCTCAGCTGAACTACAGCAAAACAGGACTGAGGGTTCAGCACTGCAAATGGCTTTTTGTGTATTAAAGTAAAAAAAACAAATCTTGCTTCAGCTGGGTCCAGACAGCATTAAAATACCTTCCTGATGGTTTCAGTAGGAGTCAGAGAAGCCTCCTTCAATGGAGCTGAGTGCTCCCATGCTCCCTGCCCCTGGAGCTGGCAGGCTCACAGCACTAAACGTTCTCCAGCCCCTTAGCCCGGCTCGGTAACGGAGGATTAGATGTGCTGAGGAACAGTCCTGGGCACGGTGGCCAGCTGGCCTGCTTCTGTGCTAGTCAACAGCCACTGGCTGCAGGTGGCCACGGGCAGGCTGCCTGCCAGCCCGAGGCCTGGGACATCCCTGCTCCCTTGCTGGAGGACAGCTGGCTGCAGAGGGCTGAGTCCAGCCTGGGCAGCAGTGCGGCGTTGGTACCCGCGGTGCCGACTGTGCCCCAGGAGTGCTTCTGGGCACACCTGATTGCACTAGGAGGGACAGGGCTTGGATTTCCCTTGGTTAGAGGAACATCCAAAATGCATTTACGTAAACAGGGCAAATTCTTTCTTGGGGTATACTGAGAGAGCCCCCTTGGTAGCAGCACACGGAGTGGTGAGTGAGGAAATCCCTGTAGTGAGAACTGCTGCTGGGCTCACAGGAACCCAAGTGCCAGGAGACAGCCGGGTATCAGCGTTGCCTGCGGCTCCTCGAGTGATGGCTGTGCTCTTAACTACCTAATTTAAAGCAATCTTTTCAAAGAAATCCGGGTCTTTAGCTAAGACCTCAGGGTACACGAGGTTGTGGCTGTGTAATCGCTTGTCATCAAGCACTCCTATTAATGGAAGCTCCTGGCTTAGGAGTCGGGTAATGAGTTGGACATATGGCCCACAGTGAGCGTCAGAGCAGGCAGGAGAGGGAGGCTTCCCCAGGGGCAGGAAACCCTGACCTGCACAGAAGTGCCTCCTGTGGGCAGGGGGAACTCATCTCCACGTTTGTCAGCTACATGCTGCTCAAAGTAGGTTTCTCTCTCTGCCAAATGGTTGACCTCAGCGAGGTGTTAGGTTTGAGGTGTTCGCTGCAGGTGGCAGCTGTTACTCACCCAGCAGCAGGTGAGGCCAGCGTGTGCCACTCTGTGGGGACTCAGGAGCAGCTGTGCCACCTCTGCTCTGACACTTGTGCTGTCCAATCTCAGCAGTGAAGCTCAGGCCAGGGGTGTGCCTCTTGCTGCGTGGCTCATTGACAGTTTCCCCCCAGGTTTTGGGAGATGCAGACAGAGCCCACACAGCTGCCCGGGTGGGGATCCTGCTGGGGCTGTGCTTGCATCATGGCTGGCAGCTGCCTGCACCACCACACATTCCTCTGTCCCTTCCTTGTCTGGGGCTGGAGGACAGCAGTCTCTGTTTGAACAGCACATTCCACCACACCTCCCTCTGCAAACGAGACTGCAGATAACACCACGCACTGAACCTGGAGATGGTTACACACTCCACAGGTATTCCAGGAGGATTGGCACGTAGCATCCACTTGCTGATGATTTCCAGCTTTTGGGAATTTGGTATTGGTTGGTTTCTGACATCTCCATGACACATGAGCACAAATCTAAAGGCAGTCTCTTATGTGGAAAGCTTAAAATCAAGACAAGAAGCATCAAACAATAAGAATGCAATCAACAAATGCAGAAACTAGCCCAGAGAATTATTTTAACATGGTGTGTTTACTGAAGCAGTAGAACAGACAGGAATTATTTCCTCGGTTTTGAAACTGGGGGTGAGATTCTGGAGCTGGAAGTGCATGCCTGTGGAGCAGAGCCCAGGATTTAGGATACTACTGAGGGAAGCAGGACTGCTCCTTGCCCCCGTAAGACCTCCAGCCTCACTTGCACAAACCTTGCATTTTCCAAAAGCTCTTAGGATTTTTTGGTGATGAATACCCACAGGCCTTGAAGGTGTGTTGGAGGAACTCAGAACGAAAGCATCCAGTAAGGGTAACATCTACATCTCTCAGTCTTTGCTCAGCTTGATTCCTAATCAAGTGATTAATCCAGACCTTACGACACAATGTCCTCTGTACAGCACAGCATTTGGAAAGAAAGTGCTACCACGCAGCAGTCTCACTGAGCAAAGCAGGAAGGAATCCAGCCAGTATGAAAAGACAGTTGTAATTTTGTTTGCACACACTGTTAACCAGCCTCTCCCAAACAGAGAAATAAAGCTGAGAATTGTTTTCAGCATAAAAGTAAGCATTTAGCTCAGTTTCTTCCTTAACTATGTAAAGGATTAGTACATGCCTTGCAATTCCTGGATGCTCAAAGGTCAACTGTCTAAGCAGATTCTCTTTAGAGAGTTCTGTCAAAGCATTTCCCTGATAATGTGCATGTGAAGAGCCCTGAGTTTTGTTGAATACAATAACTGATGCATTCAGTGTGCTTTCTCTCCCTCTGGTTAGTATCTAGATCTGTGCTAGCCCAGCAAAGGTGAAAATGGCACCTTGCCATCTCTCATCTTGAGGCTGTGCAGGAGAGTGTGGCAAGTGCAGCCACACCTTGTACAAACCAGACTCGGATGCCTCTTCCTCTTTCTGTGGCAGAACAGTGGGTTAGACTGTGCAGAGGGACAGAAAAATGGAACCTTCTCTCTTCTTGGGCTGCCAGACATTTTTTTTTGGCCGGGTGGCCGTGTTCTGGTCCATGCAGAACTTCAAAGTGCCTTCTTGGACCATTAATAAATCATAGTTTGGATAGTCCTAGGTAACACTGCTAGTAAGCTCTTACAGCCCCAGTAGGGAATTTCTGAGCCAGAGTGTGCACCTGGTGCTGGAGCACTAGAAAAATGTGTCAGCCTGCTCCTGCTCTACAGGGAGCAGTGCCCAGGCTTACTCTGTGTGCTCTGCTTCTCCGTGTGCAGTCATTGCAGGAGAAGTCCTGCCAGCCATCTGAAGGTGATGTTTTCTGGATTCTTAGTGGGAGGGTATGGCATTGTACAGGCTGTGGGTGGGAGCAGGTGGTCTCAGAACTAAACAGAACATCTATCATGAATGGTTTGAGCTCTGGCACCTCGGTGCTGGAGCTTCTGAGAACAGGAAAAGAGCTTTTAAAGTAAGCTGAGAAGTTGGAGGCAGTGCAGTTGGTGGCTAGGTAAGTGAGAAGGGCTGCATTGGGCAGGGAGGCCAGGTTCAGGTCTGGCACTGAGCAGCCCCAGCCGTGCCTGTGTTTGGGGAACATCACTGGAAAGGTGAGCACACCTTGCAGAGCTGCTCTGAGGTGTGGCAAGGGGCTGGAGGCAGGGCCCCCTGCCTTCCCCCCAGGCACTCCCTCTCCTGCCCTGGCAGCAGCCTCCCTGCCTGCATTGGGCAAGGTGAAATTAGACCCAGGGTCCAGCGTTCCAGGCTGCTGGGTGGCTGCTGGGACCAGCTGAGGGTGGAGCTCAGATTGTCCCCGTTGGCAGTGAGGGATCTCTGGTTGGTTTCAGCCAACCATGTAACCTCACTGGTGGTCCCCCTGGGGCTCTTCACCCTATCCTGGCAGCATTTGGGCTGTGTGATATGTGCACAGGGTGGACATGCAATGTGTGCCTTTTTGGGGGGACTTCAGTACTTAGCAGTAGCAGCAGGTTCTTGGAATGTTTCCCCTCGCTGGGAGTTGGGGGTTGGCTTCCTCTGCACCATCACCACCCCTGGAGGAGGACTGTGCCCCCTGAAAGCTGAAGTGGAACTGGTCACCTCGGGGTGTTAGGTGTCCTGAAGGGCATCTTTCTGGCATCTTAGGAGAGGCTGTTCCCCAGGCTGCTGGCTGGGTGGACTGTAGCGTGGCTGTGGGGAGACTCTTCCCCTGGAGTGCAGTCCCAGGTGAGGGTTTTGCCTGAGCTCCTGCCATGGCCAGTTAATTACATTCACTGCAGAAAACAAGGAAATTATGTCAAGTTTGGCTGAGTACCTTTGGTGACATCCCAGTGAGCACTGAACAGGCTATGCAGCTCTAATCCTTACCTACAGAACAAAGTTGCTTTAATTTTAGTCAGTTTTATTGCAGACTTCTACATGCTGTTAATGTATTCACAGCTTTTTTCATTTGCACTGAGCCTTCATAAAATTGTATTATGGTGGCTGATGTTTTTTAATTACCATTTCTAGCTTCTTTTCCTATGAAGAAATTGTTTGGAATAAATCTCTTCTGTTGTTTTTAACACTATTTATTCTACTTCAACTGGCAGAAAACAAACCAACAGAATGATATTTCTTTCCTGAGGAGTTTTATTGAGGTTTATAATCCAAATCTGAGGTGTTTTTTGGGTATCTGTATCTACAGGTGCCCCCTGGAGCATTCAGTGCTAGCTCCCTCTGTTGTGTGCATATCCCAGCTATCGGTTGGTTTCATATCTTTATCTTTGCTGAAGCTTCTTTTTAAGCATGGAAGAACTTGTGCTGGAGAAGCAAGAGCATCTTGGGAAAATGTAGCAGTGTGGCATGAATTTAACAAAATCATTTATCTTTCCATCTACAGTAACAGACATTTGTCCTCTCCCTTTTCCCCTCCAGCCCAAGCCAACGAAGGGGAGGATGCGCATCCATTGCCTGGAGAACGTTGATAAAGCCCTCCAGTTCCTGAAGGAGCAGAGAGTGCACCTAGAGAACATGGGGTCTCATGATATTGTGGATGGGAACCACAGGCTGACACTTGGCCTCATTTGGACTATTATCCTGAGGTTCCAGGTGAGGATGCCTAGGCACACAGATACAGAGACAGCTGACTTCCCTTCTCTGTGATGCACTTGACTTTTGAAGAGTGGAGTGCTCCAGGTCCTCCAAGATGATGGGACTGAAAAGTGCTGAGCATCTGGCAGGACATGCTCCAGAGCTAAGGGGGAAGGACAAATTCATCTTCATGGTGCTGCTGATCTGTAGGGGGAGACAGGAGGAGTTTTTAGAGAGTCATGTGGTTTTATTTTTAAGTTCCTGATAAATAGGAAGCTCCAGCCATGGACCTGTCCACTCTTGCAGACCTGGGAGGGAATGCTGCTCTTCACCTCTGTGGTGACTGCCCTTCACCTGGCTGACTTTGCACTGGAGCAGGTGAAGGATGCCCACAGGAATTGTTTTAGTGTCCCAGCTAAAGGCTGAGACTTCTTGTCCTCCAGCACGCTGCTCATTGGTCTTTGCCCTCAGCTAAAAAAGGCTGAGAAGTCCTTTTGCAGCAAGGACAATAAATGTATATAGTAAATATATCATTTACAATGAATAACATACAGTAGTACATATGGTAGGCTTTTTCAGAGAAATATTTAAACCCTTGGTGTTAATTTTTAGATCCAGGACATCAGTGTTGAAACTGAGGACAACAAGGAGAAGAAGTCAGCTAAAGATGCTTTGCTTCTGTGGTGCCAGATGAAGACAGCTGGGTGAGTGTGGATTAAGTGATTACTTCTAAAGCTCTTACAGCATTTTGAGTTTTCACTGGAATAATTTTAAATTGGCAAACATCTATATCTCTCCTTAAGTGGATTCAGCCCAGAGAAGTGAACTGATGTTTACAAGTCAGAAAATTCTGAATTTATTATATTAATGCTGGGTGATAAACACACCAGTCTGGTAATCTAAGTAATATACTGACTCTTTTTCACCCTCTTCTGAAGAAATAATGAAGCTTCAGGTGTTTACCACCAACTTTTCTCTCTCTTCATACACGGGGAAATATTTCCAAGATGGCTTTCTCTGACAACAACATTCTGGCATAATTAAATATCCATTTGTAGAGATTCAGTATGTTTCCCCCATGAAAGCTGGATGTCCCTGTGATGACTTGGGGCATTATTTTAGTGGTACTTTTTCTTCTCCTTCCAAGCACGCTTATGAAATCGGTTTGTGAGCAGCCTGAAATTTTTAGAGATTTTTCAAAATACCCAGATCATGAAACAAATTTTGCCTTTACCCATGGGGCACAACGGTGGCTGTCACATGTGCTTTGTTTAAAAGTCAGACAGGGACCAGAGCCAGCCTCTGGAGATGCCCTGGGACAGCAGTTTCAGGGACAACTTAACGTGTCACTGCTCCCATGGCAACTGCAGCCATCAGGAGAGGTTTGGCTCTGCTCTTTTCCTCCAGCTGTTCCTGCTCTTCTCTTGGAACTTGGTATTTTGGGTACCTGAAAATAATTCTTTGCCAGCAGCTAAATCAGGAGTGGGGTTTAGACTTGCACAGGTTTGAAACCTCACATGCTGCAGGTTGGGCAGCAAGTTACAAGATGATAGCTTCAAATGATCCCTTCCAAGTTCACTTAGAGCCTTTCTCTGGAACGTGTGTCAGTTGTGCAGGGCTTACAGGAGTGAAGGAGCTGCACTTACCCCCAGTGCCAGTCTGGTGGGAGGGCAGTCGTGGTGACAGGTTGTCCATCCTGGGATGGCAATACCCCACCCTTAGGCTGACAGCAAACGTGTCACTCCTGCAGCCTGCTTTTTGGGACAGCATGCAGAGCTGCAGCAGGGGTGCTGTACTCATTGCCCTCCCTTGGTTTTTGTTCTGCCAGTTACCCCAACGTCAACATCCACAACTTCACGACGAGCTGGAGGGACGGGATGGCTTTCAATGCACTAATCCACAAGCACAGGTACCTGTGGGCGTGTGGGTGGGTTTTGAAAGCTTGGGCTGTTGCAGTGTGCAGAGGGTTTTGCACATACCTTGCAGCTTGATTTTGTAATCTTTGGAGAGGAGGAAGCTGAAGAATTGATGAGACTTCTACACCAACTTGTCTTGCTTTAGAGCTTTACAGCTCTGTGAGCTCATCTGGGCAACAGCTTCTCACATCACAAGTCAAAACAGGTTGTGTTTGGTTTCAAGGGAATAAACTCTACCTAATAGTTTTGCTTTGTGACTGAGCAGGTTGGAAGAAAAGGTTTCATTCCTTATTGAGTAACTGCTGATCAAGTCTCACTGCCTAGAACTCGGGGGTGGGAGGGGAGGGCCAGACACAACAGCAGCCTGGAGGGGAAAGAAATTCCTGTGCAGGGATGGCACAAGTGGGTGCTGGACTTGGACCTGGCTGGGGATGCTGCTCATTGGCATAGCAGAACTTCACAGTTCTTGGGACAGCTCACATGCTTACGTGGGCATGAGGAGAGACTGACTGCAGCCATGTTCCTTTCCTCTCCAGGGCCACTGCTGTCAAGCTGTGCTCCTCTTTGCCATGGGCTAGGTCCTGCCTGGGCTGTGCAAAGCATTCCTTCCTGCCTTTAATACTGCCCATGAAACCCACAGGCCTGCTGGGCAAGCAAAGCCTGGGCAGGGTGAGGGGCCAGGTGTTGTGAGGATTGCAGATTTTAGTTCATTTGAGGGTGGCTGCACTGTGCTTTGGGAAATCTAAAGCATTTTCCATCCTGTCTAGGCCTGATCTGATTGATTTTGACAAGCTGAAGAAATCAAATGCACACTACAATCTGCAGAATGCTTTTAACCTTGCAGAGCAACACCTTGGTCTTACTAAGCTCCTGGACCCCGAGGGTAAGAATTCCTGCAGTTTCAGCACTTCAGGACTCTTTGTGGGCCCTTGTCTCCCACCCCTCCTTGTTGCTGGGCACATGTTGTGACAGCTTGTTGTGTTGGAGCAGCTGGGTGCTGCTGACTCACCTGGTGATACAACCAGAGAGAGGAGGAGAGGATGCAAGATGGCTCCTGCAGAGGGCTGAGCAGCAGGAGCACCAGAGCCCTTTATTTTCCCCCCTCTCACAAGATCACAGGACTATAAACATAAAATCACTCCAGTTAGAGGCATCCTTCTGACCTGCTCCAAGAAACACTTTCTGTGAGCTGGAGGATGAGTGATGTGGATTTCAGCACATAGTTAGAGTTTCTTTCACAGCCTGTCAGTGCTTTCAGGAGGCTCAGCACACTCCTGTGTATTGGAAGTGCTCACAATGTAGGATCAGAAACTTTCTTGTCACAGGGCAAACAGAGGCTGTGTGTTGGGGCAAGTTTCTTTTTTGCTTATTTTCCAGTGCCTCAGTATTGCTGCAGGAGAGGAAATAATTTGTTTTCCATTTGTATATCACAGAATTTTTGCCTGGAGAGACATACTATTAGGAGTGAATTCCTCTCAAAATGCTGATGTAGTGCTGAAGGTCTCAATTAACAGTAATTCTCTCAACTCACACAGACACTAGACAAGTTCTTTGGCTGTGCCCAAGCTGTGGCAAAATCTGGAGCCTGACTCTAAGGCCTGGAGGCCCCTCCCTAGCCCACAGACAGTGCTTTAACCACAGGCCCCACTGAGACAAAGGGATAAAGCAGCAGTTCTTAGTGACAGAGTTCAGTGTGCCAAGTAGCCCAGAACCAGTCCAAAGCTGCTGGATTTATTTCTGATTGGGACATAAATCTTAGGGGCTGAACTGCCCCTGAACCCATCTCCCTGCCTCTTCAGCCCACCCTCGCTGCATTATTGGCGTTGTTGTTTTAACCCCTGCACCCTCAGTACATGAGATAACTCCTGTTTGGTTTGCAGATATCAGCGTGGATCACCCTGATGAGAAGTCAATCATCACCTATGTGGTGACATATTACCACTACTTCTCCAAGATGAAAGCTTTAGCTGTGGAGGGAAAACGTATTGGAAAGGTTTGCAAGTTCAAATCATAGCTTACTACACAGCAGTTGATATCTTTCCAAGTTTGGTTTTTGTGGTTTTGTTTTTTTTTTTCCTTTTGGGTGTTAGTTTTTTAAGAGTCCACTGTATGGTGGTTTTTAGGTTTGCTCTTGAAGGTGTTTTGAATGTGGGATTTTCCCATATGACAGTGAGGGGTAGTTGATTTCCAGCTGCCTCATATTAGCAAACATTTGGCCAGTGTTTTATTTTGGCTTGTCAATTTTGCATCCTTGCTGATTTTCCTTTCTCATTAACTGCTGCTCACCCTCTGGGTCCTCTGTCTCTTCTAGAGCCCAGAAAAGTCCCTCATTTAAAAAATGCTGTCAGCCTCTGCCCTTTGGCAGAGTTGTCCCCGTTTTTACAGCTGGCAGAGTGAACATGAATCCTTCTGTGAGCCTCAGCCCTGCCCCTCTGTCACCTCTCTTGGGGTGTGGGAATTGGGTGCTGCACACTGCAAAGCCTGATCCCTGGGGGAGAGCAGCCCCTGTGGTGCTGAGGAGCCGCTGGCCTGATCCATGAGCCTCCCAGGGGTCCCTCTGGGGTGCCTGGCTGGGTGCCGTGGCTCCGAGGGGCGCTGCCCTGGTCACGGACCTGTCCTGCTGCTGCTTGCAGGTGCTGGACAACGCCATTGAAACGGAGAAGATGATCGAGAAATACGAGTCGCTGGCGTCCGACCTGCTGGAGTGGATCGAGCAAACCATCATCATCCTCAACAACCGCAAGTTTGCCAACTCCCTGGTGGGGGTGCAGCAGCAGCTGCAGGCCTTCAACACCTACCGCACCGTCGAGAAGCCACCCAAGTAATTTCCACCTCAGCTTACGACAGCAGCCGGCCTCTTTGCTTTAGTCAGTCACAAAAACCAACAAAAAAACCCAACACATCCAAGCAGTTTTAATCTTGGCTTAAGAATGAGTTTTCCTGAACGAGCCCAGATGGCACCTGTCCCATAGGCACCCGTTGTGACTGCCTGGGGACTCTTTGCTTTGTGCTGTTCCATGCACACATAATAACAATGAGACAAAGGTCTCAGGGTGCTGGGAGCTGTCACTTTGGTGGGGTGCCTGCCCTACAACAGGATTGCTAACAGCATACCATAGAATCATAGAATCCTTTAGGTTGGAAAGGACCTCCAAGATCATCAAGTGCAACCCTTGAGCCATTAGGGCTCTAAAGTCCTCTGCCAAAACAGATCAGAATCCGTCAGGGTTGGAAGGGACCACAAGGATCCCCCAGTTCCAACCCCTCTGCCATGAGCAGGGACACCTCCCACTAGATCAGGCTGCCCAGAGCCTCACCCAGCCTGGCCTTAATAGTCTCACTAGTCTGGCTTGCTAGTGATATATAATGCCAGCCCACTGCTAGTAAAAGAACCTTCCTGCTTATCCAAAATCGAGAGGGGGTGTGCCTGGCTTTGTAAAACACAGCTTACTAAAACTGATACAACCAAAGCTCTGCAGCTTATTGCTGGAAAGTTTCTTTTAGCATTATGGTATCAGATCTGTTTGTTATTTTTGTCTGCTATAAGGTCCAATGGATAATCATCACAGTCCACAGCATTACAGAGTAGCCAGACAGCATCTAAAATTGCAGCTATTCCCCAGTGCCTGTGGAGTTTGTTTATTTCCAAGGAGTACGACTCAGGGAAAACAGTGGGAAGAGTTTATTGACTGCAGTGGGTTTTAAATAAAACTTCCAGTTCTAGAGTAAACCAGGGCAGTGCACGTAATAGAATAAAAAAGATGTGGTCTTCTGTCCCCTGGGGGGCTTACATCAGAGCTCCCAGACAGCTGGCTCCTGTGCAGTTTCTTTTGCTGTTTGACCCAACTGGTTCCAGGGGATGTGGGGGCTATGGCAGTTGCTTCCAGCTTTCACACAAGATGAAGGTGTTTATCTGAATGCTCCATTCATAATGTCAATATTTTGAGGAAGTGCTTTGTAATACCTTAGTAGCAGTGAACACTTTATTGTAACTCAGTTCTTTTGCAAAATTCTCTTCAGGTTTACAGAAAAAGGAAACCTAGAAGTGCTGCTTTTTACCATTCAGAGCAAAATGAGAGCCAACAACCAGAAAGTGTACATGCCAAGAGAGGGCAAACTCATCTCTGACATCAACAAGGTAAACTGAGCCACCTCCTTTGCAACTCAGGATTTCAATCTTTTCTTTCAGTCTCTCTCAGCATACTTGGAAGAAACACATCTGCTGTCCCCAGCCTTGCTGTGGGGACTGCAGGGGCTGGACGAGGTGGGGTGACCTTTTCCTGTAGCTCAGACTCACTACTCTGACCTGAGTCCAGTGTGGGGGAGTGAAGGAAGCGCCGTGGCCGCTCCGGCGGGTTCCCTCGTGGGGTTTGCACAGCTATTCTTGGGGCTGGTGCAGCTGGCAGGAGAGCAGCAGAGCTGAGGGGCTCCCTCCAGCACAACCACCAACGTAAAACTGGGAGCTCTCCTCGGCTGTGCTGGAGCATGCTTGGCATTCCCAGAGCAGCTGTTGTGGGTGTCTGCGGCCTCGCTCTGCGTCCTAGAGAGCAGTAAACGTGCACAGCTCTTGTTTGCATTAAGCCTGTGAATGCCTAAAATGCTTGGGTTTCAGGCAGTTTCACATCTGTTAAGATTTAGAAGAATCTTGGGTAGTTTGTGTTTAATTGTGGGTATTTTTGTTGTTTGTAAGAAGATCTGAAAGGCGATTAGCTGGCTTTCAACATGCTTCCAAGACTTTATTTTTGTAATATTAATGTCATGCATGTGAATAACATTTGGCTTTGGGGAAAAAAGGACTTGTGTGCACCAAAAGTAAGCAAATTCTGCCGTTGTTTTCTTTTTCAAAGTGGGTGTAAGGAAGGACAACAATTGTACGTTGATTTTGAAGGGGAGAGAGCTTGAATCTCTGGTGCTCATTTCTCAAAGGAGGAAGACAGAACCTGCTTATTTAGGTGTAGTGCTCAACATATTACTTTTTTTTAAACAAGTGCTCTCTTACACAGTTGAGCCAGCTGGTTTATTTAGACTTTCTTGGAGGCAAAAACCACATGAACTTGAGAAAATGCATCTGAGGTGAACAGGTCTTAACACTCATGGCTCAGAGAATGAATGAATTGAGAACAAATTTTAAGATGTGTGCTTATATGAGCAGCCAAGGTGTTAAGGCCAGCTAATAGAAACTAGATTTATTGGCATATAAATAAATAAGCCAGTCTTGTGAAACTTGGCCATAGTGACTCCAGTCCCGATTTCATGCAAAGAAGATGTGATTTATCATAATCCTGTAAGAATGTGTGTTTAGGAGACGCGTGTTTTTTTCTCCACGTCTCCAGGCCTGGGAAAGACTGGAAAAAGCTGAACATGAAAGAGAACTGGCACTGCGAAATGAGCTCATCAGACAAGAGAAACTGGAACAACTCGCACGCAGATTTGATCGCAAGGCAGCTATGAGGGAAACTTGGCTGAGTGAAAATCAACGTCTCGTTTCTCAGGTGCTGCTTTCAGAGACTGTCTGCGTGACTAAAGTGATTCCCATGAGTAATTACAGGATACAGTTCTTGCAAGGAGAACATTTCTTCCCCTATGCCTCATATTTTACTACATCTACGTGTATTTCTGTTTGTTGTTTGTGTGTGCAAAGGTGTATTTCGTGTAGCTGTGTATATACTGTACGTCCTGTCTTTAATGCAGCTGGGATATCTCTTCCATGAGTCCATCATACTGCACTCAGCAGATACTGATGTGGCAAGACAGAATCATTTAGGCTGGAAAAAACCTTTAAAATCACCATTTTTCTTCATCTGAATGGTTTGGTCAGTTCAGTGGAATTAGACCAGGAATTAGTTGATTTTTTTTTTTTAATATTAGAGATGACTTAAAAAAAAAATAAATTCAAACCCCAGCTTAATCCTGATGGCCACCATGGTTCTGTGCAAAGGTAGTGAATGAGATCTCTGATTTCATCAGCAATTCTCTGGTTATCAGAGCTGTGTCTGGTTTTATTAAAGAAGACTTTTCAGAGCATTTTGGGATCTCAGATTTGCTAACAAGTGTATTCTGCACAGTCAGGAATCACCTTATGAGCAGGAGGGCTTTTCTTCCTAGCAGCTATCACTGAAGAATCATCTCTGTCTTTGCAGGATAATTTTGGCTTTGACCTTCCAGCAGTAGAGGCTGCAACAAAGAAGCACGAGGCCATTGAGACAGACATTGCAGCCTACGAGGAGCGGGTGCAGGCCGTGGTGGCAGTTGCCAAGGAGCTGGAGGCTGAGAACTACCACGACATCAAGCGCATCGCCGCCAGGAAGGACAACGTGATCCGCCTGTGGGAGTACCTGCTGGAGCTGCTCCGCGCGCGGAGGCAGCGCCTGGAGATGAACCTGGGGCTGCAGAAGATTTTCCAGGAGATGCTGTACATTATGGACTGGATGGATGAGATGAAGGTAGGTGTTGGGCACTTCAGAACGTAGAACGAACATTCTGGAGAGGTGGAGGTGTCCTTTTTTTGGTAAGTTTTTAAGATCCATTTTACCCGTGTGGTTTAAGAGACAAGTGCAGGAGGTCCACATTCCAAGAGTCTTGAACAAGTTCCTTCTACATTATAGTGATTTAAAAAAAGAATGATTAAAAATAAATAAGGAAAAAGAACAAGTTCCCTCTTATAAAAAGCTACTTTCCAGCTTGATGCCTCTGCCATAAGGGCCAGAGGCTTTGGTCACAGTGCTTGAAGGGGAAGGATGACAATTTTGGTGAAAGGGAATTAAATAATCTCTCTCCATCACAGTTTACATGGGGAACAAGTCACCTCTTCACCTCTGTGCTTTAAAAAGCATGAATTTCTTCCTGTCTGTTCTCCTGGGGTCTGGGAAGGAAGAGGACCATGATGTCATTCTTGTCCATCAGCCAGCAGAACTTGGAAGCTGTTGGAGGAAAGACAGACGTGTGTAGCTCAGTGGCAGCTCACAGCACCTGGCCACAGTGCTTTGTGTTGGTCTTGCTGAGCTAACTTAGCTACTCACCATCCTCAGCTTCAAAGTGCATTAAAGAGCAGTCAAGTTCTTCTTGTTTGCCAGTGATATAAAAATATTGGCTCAAATTTTTATCTCTATACATTGGAAACCATTCTGGACTTAAGTCAGTGTAATAGCAGAGAACAGTGTAATGCCTGGAGTCGTTCAGAATCAAGCAGCTTATGGCCTCCAGCCCAGTTGACTTACATTGACTTACATAGACTTTTACATCTTGATCAGGTGCTTCTGCTGTCTCAAGACTATGGCAAACATTTGTTAGGAGTTGAGGACCTGCTGCAGAAACACGCTCTTGTGGAAGCTGACATTGGTATTCAGGCTGAGAGAGTGAGAGGGGTCAATGCATCTGCTCAGAAGTTTGCCACCGATGGAGAAGGTAACCAGCAGCCAACACGTCCTTCCTTGTCTCAATTATGTATGAGGTTATTTATAAGCCTCATTAGTTCTGCAAGGCACATTAGGTTGAATTCAACAGCAGAACAGGAGAATCCAGCTTCATTTGTTCCTCCTGTGCTCACTGTGTCAATGATTAATTTGCCCAGGTACCTGCTCAAGAGTTCATTGAGGCCTTGTGTTTTGCAGGGGATGTCACACTCCTAACCAGCAGCTGCCATATCACACTCCTAACCAGCAGCTGCCATAACTTGGTGGTGATCACCATTAATTCCTCCTCCTTTCTAATGCAAACAAGACAAGTTATTGGACACAGTCTGATATTGTTCCAGTTTATCTTAAATAAAAGGGATTCTGCTAAACCAGTGTCATCAACTGGAGTAAACGATGCTCGTTTTGGACAGCAGTGAATTTTGTTGTACTGATAACAGTCATGAATATTGTTCCTTTTGGGTTTTGCTTTTGTCTTTGTGCACAGAACAGTATTTTCTGATCTGTTTAGTGCACGGGTGGAGCTTGAATAGATCACACTGACTCTCAGGAGGCTTAGCTGTGACTTCTGTTGGTGAACTCCCCAGGAGGGGCGGGTGGGCGTTAAGAGCCCCGTGTGTGCCCAGCCGTGGCAGGGGGGTGGCTCTGCCCGGGCGGTGACGTGTGCTCTCTCTCCGGGCAGGGTACAAGCCCTGTGACCCACAGGTGATCAGGGACCGCGTGGCACACATGGAGTTCTGCTACCAGGAGCTGTGCCAGCTGGCGGCCGAGCGCCGCGCCCGCCTGGAGGAGTCCCGCCGCCTCTGGAAGTTCTTCTGGGAGATGGCCGAGGAGGAGGGCTGGATCAGGGAGAAGGAGCAGATCCTGTCCTCTGACGACTACGGGAAGGACCTGACCAGCGTCGTCAGGCTCTTCAGCAAACACAAGGCCTTCGAGGATGAGATGAGTGGTCGGAGCGGCCACTTCCAGCAGGCCATAAAAGAAGGTGAAGACATGATTGCGGAGGAGCATTTTGGGTCTGAGAAGATCAGAGAAAGAATCAAGGATATCCGGGAGCAGTGGGCTAACTTGGAACAGTTGTCTGCCATTAGGAAGAAGCGTCTGGAGGAAGCCTCTCTCCTTCACCAGTTCCAGGCTGATGCTGACGACATCGACGCGTGGATGTTGGACATCCTCAAAATCGTCTCCAGCAACGACGTTGGCCACGATGAGTATTCCACTCAGTCCTTGGTGAAGAAGCACAAAGACGTGGCCGAGGAGATCGCCAGCTACCGCCCGACCATCGACACGCTGCACGAGCAGGCCAAGGCCCTGCCCCAGGAGCACGCCGGCTCTCCAGACGTGCAGGGCAGGCTCTCTGGGATAGAGGAGAGGTACAAAGAGGTCGCGGAGCTGACCCGGCTGCGGAAACAGGCCTTGCAGGACACTCTTGCTCTTTACAAGATGTTCAGTGAGGCGGATGCTTGTGAGCTTTGGATCGACGAAAAGGAGAAGTGGCTGAATAATATGCAGATTCCAGAGAAGCTGGAGGACCTGGAAGTGATCCAGCACAGGTGAGAAAGACGTTACCGGGAAGTTCGGGGAATACTGGGTGGAAAGGTTTTGCACCAGCTACCTCTCAGGTTGCCTGTATCTCAGATCCTCTAATGCCTGTGTGATCTTTTGTTTTGTTCTGTTTGTTTTCTCTGCTCCAGGTTTGAAAGCTTAGAACCAGAAATGAACAACCAGGCGTCCCGCGTGGCAGTGGTGAACCAAATTGCCAGACAGCTGATGCACAGCGGCCACCCCAGCGAGAAGGAGATCAAAGCACAGCAAGATAAGCTCAACACAAGGTAAGGGAAGGCCTCGTGCTCAACGTGACACTGGCTGAAACAAGTACAGTGGGGTCATCTCTGTTCTTTGCACGTGTTTTGGAGATACTCTGATACTGTTATCTGAAGTATCTTCAAGGTGGGCCTGCATAGCTTCAGAAAGAAAGAGCTGTGTCTTTCCAACACTTGTTTAACAGATGGAGTTTTGCTGCTGACTTCAATCAGGGCCTGAGTGTATCAGTACCTTGGGTTGAAAGCTGGAAATTGGCTGTAATGGCTGTTATGGTACAAAAGAAAGCAATGTAATTTCACGTAAACTCACTCATTTTTTGTCTTCAGAATAAACCAAAAGAGTACATTTAGTGTGAAAATTGGATGTAACTAGCAATTTTTCACTTGAGTAAAAATTACACTCTGAAGGACTCAAGTGTTGCTGGTACTTGTCACGTTCTAATATACACCACAGCTTGGTTAATGGTTGTTTTGCTGAAACTACTGGTGGTATGGGAAGGGCTGAAAAACCCACAAAGAGTTGGGTTATTTCATGGCTTACTGAGCTAACGTGGGCAACTGCTGACTCAGCAGTGTTGCCATCTCCTTTTCCCTTATTGTCCACAATTCTCAATTCCTCTGCTTCTCTCCCCTCACAAACCAATTCCAGATGGAGCCAGTTCAGAGAACTCGTCGACAGGAAGAAGGATGCTCTGCTCTCTGCTCTCAGCATCCAGAACTACCATCTGGAATGTAACGAAACCAAGTCCTGGATCAGGGAAAAGACCAAAGTGATTGAATCCACTCAGGATCTGGGTAATGACCTCGCTGGGGTCATGGCCCTGCAGAGGAAGCTGACGGGCATGGAACGGGACCTGGTAGCCATTGAAGCCAAGCTGAGCGACCTACAGAAGGAGGCAGAGAAGCTGGAGTCTGAGCACCCTGACCAGGCACAGGCCATCCTTTCACGGCTGGCAGAGATCAACGACGTGTGGGAGGAGATGAAGACCACCCTCAAGAACAGGGAGGAGTCCCTGGGAGAGGCAAGCAAGCTGCAGCAGTTCCTGAGAGACCTGGATGACTTCCAGTCGTGGCTGTCCAGAACGCAGACCGCGATTGCGTCCGAAGACATGCCCAACACACTGACAGAGGCTGAGAAGCTGCTCACTCAGCATGAGAATATTAAGAATGAAATCAACAATTACGAGGAAGATTATCAGAAGATGAGGGACATGGGTGAGATGGTGACACAAGGGCAGACGGACGCTCAGTACATGTTCTTGCGCCAGCGCCTGCAAGCCTTGGACACGGGATGGAATGAGCTCCACAAAATGTGGGAGAACAGGCAAAATCTGCTTTCCCAGTCCCACGCCTACCAGCTGTTTCTCAGAGACACCAAGCAAGCAGAAGCATTCCTTAATAACCAGGCAAGTAGACAAGCTATACCTTATTTCGTTTCTGCAGGTTAGCACCATGTGTTGGAAGCAGTTAACAAAAGAGATCATTTGGCAGGAGAGCCCCAAACAGATAAATTGCTCTTTTTTAACTATAATTTGCTTTTTTTATCTTATTTCCCAGTGTTCCTGGGAGGTGTTTCCTTCCCCTGTGGTGAATCTCTTGTTGGAGTAGATGGCGTAGCCTGAGGGTAACACTTTTATTCCTCTGTTTTATGCTTGAACCACAGGAGTATGTTTTGGCACACACAGAAATGCCCACTACCTTGGAAGGAGCAGAAGCTGCTATTAAAAAACAGGAGGATTTCATGACCACGATGGATGCCAATGAAGAAAAGATCAATGCAGTTGTAGAGACCGGCAGGAGGCTAGTTAGTGATGGGAACATTAACTCTGACAAAATCCAGGAGAAAGTGGACTCTATTGATGACAGGTAAGGTCAGAATGGTGGCAGAGCAGAGCTGTTCATACTTGAATTCTGTTCTCTGAGAGGTGACCTTTTACCAGCATCCAAAGGCAAAGTAACATGTTAGAAAATGCCTGTTGCAGACCGTTTTCTTTGTCCTGTGGAAAAATAGAAACTGTAATGTTTCAAAAATGTGCTGGGCTAATCTTAATTATCTGTTACCTCTCCCATTTTCTAGAGAGTTACTAGGCAATGAGCTCACTGCCCAGAATTTGGCTTTAAGAGCTGTTATAAAATTGTTGGAGTATTTACAGACTTCATGTCACGGGGGGAGCTGTGGCAGTTAGCTCTACCTGGTTCCACAAGTCTTTGCTTCCCCTGCTGTCTCCTGGGTGGTGATTTGATTATAATGATGTGTTCCTGTCCTTCCTCTGAGGGAGGAATGTGGCTCTTGAAGGGTGTAATTGGCACTGGCACTGGATCCACCCCACCCGTGTGGCTTTGATCGCCCTCTCCAACTCGTCTGGCCCTTCTGAAATCAGATTAGGAATCACTGGTACAAATGTGTCTTTCATCCTAGAACAAGCCTGTTGCTTTGTCTCTGTAGCTCTGGCATGGATGCTGGAGAAGGTTAAGAGTTTCTTTTCTTTGAAAACCAAATGTTCAGTTTTGACAGCTATGATTCATGGTTCTTTCTGCTCTTGCTTTGAATAATAGTGGAGTCTTTCAGAGCACTTTTCAATCCTGAGTGTCACAGCACAGCACGAAGCTCCCACAGAACTTTCATGTCCAGTGTTACAGATGACCCTTCTGTCAGCCTTGCATCCTCCTCCAGCTGGGAAGCTGAGTTATCCAGAGGTCTTTGTCTCTAGGGAGAAACTGAACCCAAGTAGTTGAGACACTGCTGTGCCTTTCCTGCTTTGGCAAACGTCCCACTAGGTGTGCACCCACTTCAGCTGGGGCTCATGGCTTCAAGAAAGGTGGATGTTCCTGTTCCCAGAGCTTCCTGAGGGCCTCTGACAGCCTAACCCCAAGGATACATCATGTTTTCATTCTTGCTGTAACCATCCTCACTCTCTGTAGATTCCAAAGAGAGTCTGCAAGGCCTAGGAAGAGGAGACTCTGTGAGAGCACTGTGTGAAAGCCTGGAGTTGGGTTTTCCCTATTTACCCTCTGACTTTCAACATCCTCTGCTACAGATTTTCCCATCCACTTATGCAGCAGGAGGCCTTGATCCTGGCCTTGTGGTCAGGTGCCTTCTTTCTGCAAGGTTTGGAGCACTCAGAGGCAGCATGTGAGGATATAGCAGCAGGTGGTCAGCTGCTCCTTGCAGCCCTTTCTGAGGTGCCTGGGGCAGGAGACAGCTTTGGTGTGCTCTGCAGAAAGGACCCTTCTGCCCTGGCTGGGGCAGGAGCCTCCTCCTCCTCCACTGTGTCCCCATTGTCCTGTGGCACCCCAGCTGGCCACCTGGGCTGTGCTGTTCTGTCCATGGGACATGTGCTCGAGCTCCTACTCTGAATGGCAGACAAGTCCAAGAGGCTGTTTTTTTAAGCCCACTTTTTTTCCCCAACACATTTCCTCAATTCCAAAGCTATTTCTGCGGAGCGCTGCAAAATCCATCCGGTGTGCTGCTGCTCAGGAAATCCCTCTGCCTGCTCCCCAGCCTGGGAGGCTGATAAGCCTCAAGAACAAAGCCCTAGGGCTGGGTGTAGTGGGAGTGGTAGCAGAGGAAGCCTCTTTTGGTTTTACACAAAATCCCTCTCCCAACCAAGCTCCCTGGATGTATAACAAAGGACCAAAACAAACAAGGACAAATATGTGCAGTGGCTCCGTGCTTCCCATATGGAGCTCTTTGTAGTTTTTGGTATTGTTGATAGTGTTTGTCAGAGTCATGCTTTCAAACTGTTCCAGAGGAGACCCTACTGTCTGTGGGTGCAGCAGGCAGACCCTGCCCTAAAATGGTTACCATCAAATAGGCATGGTGGGCATCAGGCTGAGGAGAGGAGGGTGCAGCAGCTGTGCAGGAAGAGTTACCAGCACTTCAGCACAGCCATTCAGGGCACTTCACAGGGAGGAATAAATGGGAATAAGGACATGGGGGAAGTGTGAGGGAAGGAGAAGAGGGGTTTGAATAAAGCTATCACTACCCAGCCTTTCCAGCTAGGGAAGAAGCTGCTCTCCCCAGTGCAGCTCTACATGTTTTGGTGACTTCTGCTGCTGTTCCTGCAAGCTGGAGGGAAGCATTTTCTCTTCCATTTTCTCTTGGAAGAGTTTAAGGGGACTGCCCAGGTCTGTGTGCCCACACATGGCCTCTCTGATTCTGCAAATGAGATGTCATTTAAAGAGTGGCAGATCTGACAGGGATTGTGGTCTGGGTCTGTTTTCATCAACTTTTGTATTTGTGCAACTTTCTGCTCCACAGAGAACAGCAGCAAATTTTGTTCTTGCCCATTCAGGAAGGACAGTGCCTCTTGTTTGCTGAAACAACTGAGGAAGCTAAAACTGCCTTGCCTGTATCTCAGTATTCATATCAGGCAGTTGCATTCATACTACATGCAAGCTTTACTATTCTGCACAGGCTTTGAAACCCACAGGCTTACAGTTAAACCACAAGTGATTTTGTCAGTTTTTTGGCATTGTTTTCATTCTCAGGGGCCTCTGGGGACACAGCATGGGAATGTTGGGGCAAATTTTGGTGCTCTGCTCTTGCATTGGAGTCAGATACCTCCTTGTGCTGAACAGATCTCATTTTCCTGGTTTAGATTCTTCATAATGTTGCCACAGAAGGAAGACACCCCCTTGTTTTAACTGACTGGTATATTCCCTGTCCCCATTTTTACCATGTAGGTCTGGCTTGGCTTGGAGATTTAGATCTGAGGTTGCCTCTTCAGTATATGCAAAGGGACATCCCCTTATTATGATTATTTCTGTGGACTGACAGATGGATTCAAAGTCATTCTAAATAATTAGAGTCTACAGAGTCTTGTGCAAGCATGGGATCTTCTGCAAACTATTTTAGCAAATTTATAAGAATTAGTCTGAGTTTCTGGCCCTCCTTTGCTGTGCACATCTCAGAAGAGCAGGATTTGAACAGTTATGCCCCCAGTCAGTGGTTGAAGGGAAAGCTTTGTGCTTTTCTCCACCCTCCAGGGATGTCTGAGAGCTTGTAGCCCTCAGCAGAGCCGTGTCCAGCCTGTCCTGGCTCAGCTGGGGCCTCCACAGGTGGCCAGGGAAGCAGGGTGGCCAGGCAGCCTCTGGAACACCACCCCCTTCTAGTGTCTCCATAAAAACCTGTGTTACGAAGCCTCTTCATAAACAGCCTCATGAAGCCTGTTTACTCTACATAAAATCCTTCTGAAGAATTCAGGGAAACATGAACAAGGGATTAGTAATGTTTAGATACAGCCTGGCTGGGGCAGGAGAACAAACTGCATGACCTTGTAAGACCCTTTATTCCTGTAAAATGTAACATCCACTCTGTGATGGAAATACAGGAATTCCTGCCTGCTTCAGCAGGGTCCATCCTCAAAATACTGCAACCACATCTTCAAGTGTCCAGTTTAAACCTCGTTAGAGTTCAACCCTGATTGTCTTCAGAGAACACTCATCTGTCAGTCCTGCTCCATGTTATCTTGAACAACCAAAACAACCTTTTAGAGTTAAATAGCTCTAGGTGCCAAAGATCATATTTGTTATGCTGAAGACAAAAAAAAAAAGCTATGTCATCATCTGTTTTTGATATCCCTGCATGGTTTCTCTTCAAAGTGCTTGAAGTTAATATTTCCAACATTCTCTGGGAGATATTTTTATTAGTTTTTTTAAACTCAAGTTTTCACGTAAGAGCTGTTCCACTTAATCTTAACTCTATTCAAATGTCATGAAAATTCCTCTTTTAATTTCTCTGCTAATGTCCTCTCCAAAATACATGAGTCTATACTGTGATCTAGCCTTAAATCTATGAAATCATCAGGATAAAATCACCCAAGCAGCTCCTCACTTCGTTTAGGGACCTGAGTAATGCAGTGTGTTTGCCCAGGCATATAAAAACCAGCTAAGAAAGAGTGGAATCAGACCCAGTGATGTTAGCAGCATTGCAGAGATTTTTCCTAAGGCACAGTTTCTGTGTCCTTCTTTCCTTTGTGCTTTCTCAGATAACCCCTGGCAAAACTTCAAGATCACCTGGGCTTGGACTTCAGCTTCTTGCTTTGATGGTTGTGTTTGTCCTCCTTGCCATCAGATCTGTAAATGAGCTTTCTTGACCCACAGCTATATAAATACTGCTTGCCTGCTTATTCAGAAGGAGCTGTTGAGACAAAAGAGAAGCAATTCCTAGTCCTGTGGTGGGTTTTCTTCTATTCCTCTGCCTGCAGACCTCTTGCCTTTATGTAAAACTGATCCCCAGGTATCCCTTGTGTCTCTGAAGTCACTAAATTCATGCCAGGGAGCTTGCTCTGGTAACTTACTGCAGATTAGGAAAAGTGGCAACTTAATCCAGTTGTTGTCATCAACATGTAATTTACAGTGTTCTAGAATATCATGAGTCTCTGGAGATTTCCACTCACATGGATTTATTTAGCCATTGCTGGTATGTGATGAGATCATCTTATAAATTGCCACCCTTTAAAACAATTTCCAACTCTCTATCCCTCTTTATCGTATGTTATTACAAAGGGCAGCAATATTTCACTTTAATACCCTGTGCAGTGAAATATGAACAAATCTAACACAAGGAGCAGTAAATAAAAATGATCTTCTTTACTCTGCCTCTTCCATCTAAATCACCTCATAAATCAGGGAGGCACTGGAGGACAGGGGTGACTGCTCCAGCTTCAGCACTGGTTGAACACATGTCCAGAGGGACCTTGGGGATCGGCTCTTGAGGCACCGTGGCCATTTGAAGAACCCACTGAGCCCTTCAGGACTGCCAGCATGGCTCATCCTTCGAGGGGCAAACAGCTCCAGGTTAACAGCAGGGCTCTAGACTAACCTCTTCTGTTCTGTCTGCTCTGAAGTGCTCTGAGAAGGAGGTTCCAGCGTGCTTAGAGCTTCTGTTTGCAGAAACCCAGGGGCGCGTGGCGTGCGCCGTTGGTGAGGTGCAGCCTGTGGAAGGCTCCATGAACCAGAGAAGGAGCTGAGCCACAGCAAAGGCTCTTCCAGGCCAGCAAGTGCACACTTTGCAAGAGCCATCTAACGTCCAATCTTCTTCTTGCAATTTTGCAGATTGTTTCCTTGTGTTATTTGGCAGTCTGAACTTCCCTGGGGTCTTGAAATTAGCAGGCTAAATTCTGTGTGTGACACTTGTGAAGCCCTGCTGACTTCAGAATGTTCCCTGGGTGTTGAAAGGGTCACAGACCCAAGGAGATGTGGAACCTGAGCGAGCCCATTAAACATCACATGCCTCAGAAATGTCCTTCCTTTGACACAGCACATCAGTGTTCAGGATGGGTACCCCAGAGAGGCTACCCACATGACAGGTTTTTGTGACCTCTCTGCTTCAAGGGGTTTTAACCTGCTCTTCTTTTCTTGACCAGGCATAGGAAGAACCGTGAAGCGGCCAGTGAACTTCTGATGAGGCTGAAGGATAACAGGGATCTTCAGAAGTTTCTTCAGGATTGTCAAGAGGTAAATGACATCCTTTCACTTCCATCACTAGAAATGGCACCCTGCAGAATCACAGAATGTTAGGGGTTGGAAGGGACCTCCATAGATCAGTGCAGGAGAGCATTCTCACCCTGTGTTCTAGGAGGACTGGAATACTCTGGTTTGCAGTCAAGTCAGCCAGTGGTATTCAGTGTGGAGCAAACAATTAAAAAAGAAAACCCTTGCTCAAAACCCTGCCAAAATTAATGTGTGGGGGATTATTTTTTTTTCCCATGAACTGAATTTCCCTTTGTCATCTAAGCTCAAGACAGGGAAAACTGCCAAAAGTGGTGAAGGTTTTCTGCTGTGGTATAAATTAATCATGTGGAATGTGGTGGGATTAGCGCTTATTAAGAATTTTGTCTACAGCTGGATGTGTGTGTCTGTGGCCTGCTGCAGGAGATTTCAGATGATTTCTGTGCAGTGTTGGGCAGGAGAAAAGGAGGTTAGGAGTAAGCAGGGAGCAGGATTAAGCTGGATCATTTTAATGTGTTATTTATCTGATAGTTTGCCTGTGTTTAACATTAAGTACTGTAACGTTTGAAATAAGAAATCCTTTCCAGGTTTTCTGGTGACTTGCATGGACTGTTTACACCAAAGGCAGTATTTCAAAGCTAGGAGTAATCTTGCTCCTAGTGTGAGGAATTAATCAAGTAATTTTCAGGTTATTTCATGCAGTAGTGAGAGCCTTCCCTGTGATGTGCATCCCAAACTAGCTCTCCCTGTCTGGAGCCTGCACAGAGAGCTCACTGTCACCAAGGCATGCTTTTAAATTCAAGAGTTGGTACAGGAGCTGCACATCCTACCCAGCTCCACGAGGCTGGAAGCCACTGCAGTGTGTCTGAATGGGGTTGCCCATAGCTGAGATTTCATACAAGAAACAAGCAAAATGACAATCATAACCCTGGGCAAATGATATTTGTTGCTTGGTTGCCTAGATGCAGTCTGTTTTCCTGCATTGCATAAGCCTGCCATGAACCAGGCTTAAATTGCTCCTTCCTTGGTAGTAAAAATATGACAGATTAGCAAGAATTCTGCTGTTAGCAGCAGCTTCTTCCTTCCTCTGTCACATCTCTGTAAAAAGAATCCCCTTTGCTCTTGGAGCAGTTGTGGCCTCTGAGTCCATGTGGCTGTGTTCCCTGGGATCTGTTTTTTCCCCTATATCACTGAAAGAAAGAGGAAGACATAAAAGCCCTAGTGTCTAGCTGCCTGAATGCCTTTCCTCCCATTGTTCCCCTCCAGCCACTAAAGCACGGATGTCTCGGCTGTAGGGCTCAAAGGCAGAGCTCACAATACCCAGACATTACAGATTTCCCCCATCCTTTCTGGAGAGGACATCAGCCTGGCTGATACTTGAATGGCTGTTTTCTGAGAAGACAGCCATAGTGAGACTTGGAATTCTGACGGGGAGGCAGCGAGCAGGTCACTGGTGCTGGGGGGTGTCAGGATAATGCTCGTACCCCAGCTCAGCAGTGATGAACCTTTCCCCCAGGTCACCGAGCAGATTTTTAGTAGTCAGATACACTGTCAAGGGTTATTTCTGGAGTGATCCTTTTTTTGTGTGTTTCTCACATTCATAAATATGAATGTGTTGAAGAAGTCTGCTTAGGGACTGAAAGAATGACAGCAGAAAATCCTGAAGAGAGGAGACGTGATAAATTTTGCCATTTAGTTTTCCTCGACTTCCTGCTCTTTCACAGCTCACCTTCGGAGAGATTAAAGCTGCTCTTCCCTCTAAGTGCTCAAAGTCCCAGCAGAGTCTGGGCTGGTCTCTCCAGGGAGGACAGAGTGAAAGTGTCTGGCCAGGCTCCACCCGGCCGCAGCGTTCCGCCTGCTCTGGGCACGCAGCGCAGCCCTCCGGGAGCCTCCCCAGGGGCTAGGCTCTGCCAGCTGGGGTGCTGGCACTGCCTGGGAAGGGCAGCAGCAGTCAGTGCTCTTTCACCTCCCCTTCTTGCTCTGCCAGGTTGGCAAGGGTTTTGTCTCTGTGTGTCTCTTGGTTCTGGCCTGGCTTTCCTTGCGGAGTGTTGGGATCTGGGAGCCAGGAGCAGGAACAAAACTCTGTGACAGAGTTGCAAAGGGTGGGAGGAAGCCTAACAGCTCTGCTGGCTTTCACAGCTCACTTCTGGTCTCCTGATACTCCCAGTATCAATGTGAGGCAGTGTTCTAGGGAATTCTTGTGTTATTTTTTAAATCTACTTGGGCACAGAGGACACAAACTTGCAGTGACTATAGAGTTGCAAAGCCCAGATGTTCCCAGTCAGCCCTTCAGTGCTTTGGTTGCACTTCTGTGCTGTCAGGAGGAACGTAACAACGTGGTGAGAGTCAGAATGAGGGGTTTATCCTGACAGGCCCTGACTGTACCATGTGTCTCAACTCACCCATCTGTTAATAGAACACCACTACCTTTCCTGGAAAGCACTTCTAAATCCTCAGAAGACTTAATGCTGTGGCTGAGGAAAAGCAAACAGTGAAAGACAAGCAGTGCAATTCAAAGACTATAGCAGCTGTCTCCTACTCAGAAAGGCAGGAGTAAAACCACTAATTTGGGGTTACACAGTAATCTTTAATGTAGCCTTTGATTGTTAACTAGCTCAGTAGCCTTTTATAACTGTAAAACTTCACTGCCTCCAGAGCTCCATTCACATGAACGTTTTTCTTTTTAGATAGCAAGATCAGATGAGGAGTTTCTTTGATTGCTCTGATAAGTTTTCCCTTTTTGTGGAACATAACAGAGCTTTTAAGGGACAATTTAACAAAGCCTTGTGAGTGCTAAATGAATGTGTTGCAGGTAGCAGCCACTTGGTGAGTCTCACCCATGCCCTGCTACTCTTCTTGTCAGGGTGCCTCCTCAGCAGGACAGCCTGCCTCACCAAGGTGGCCTTCTAGAAACAAAGCTTCCATTTGTTTTGACATTTTCCACTTGGGTAGTCAACTCAAAATATGCAGAAAATGGATCTTTTTCAAATTCTATAACCATTGCTCTGCGTGTGGGTTTTATCCACACCTAAGGGATGGATTAAGCAGTCAGACTTGCCCTAGGAGGAAATTTGATGTTGGCTGCTGTGATCATCTTCACATTCTGTTTGCCCTTGGCAAATAAGCAAATAATCTTTTAAAGTATTGATTTTCTCTGGTGTTGATCTGGAAATTGTTCTCAGCATCTCTGGATTTGCAGAAAATCAGAATGAAATCAGCCTTGGATTTTATATAATGGGAAGAGGAAAGCCTTGAGTACCAAATCCCTACTGCAGACTGGACAAATAAATTTATTTATGTCAGCCTAGAGAAGAGACACAAATGTGGTGTGAATTAATGGTACAAACCCATCTCTGCTCATAAGGCTTTTGATACAGATTTCCTCACTCAGTGTTTCCCTGAAAAATGTCCCTTGGGGCTCTGTTCAGTTCTGGAGACTGCCTTTTGCCAGCCACCTGATCAGGGTGAACCTTCTCAGCATCCTCAGGAAGTCAGTGAGGCTCCACAGGGGTGTGGTGGTGACGTTCAGGTCGGGGTCCTGAGGAGCACATTGAGTAGTGCTGGGAGGGAGGAGCAGTGTGGAGGGACACTGTGACCCACCAGTGGGACACAGCTTCCCATTTCCCTTCATGTTGAACTGCCTGGGGCCTGTGTGTTTGACTTTGCTCATCATGGAGTTAATTCCTTTCTGCTTGAGTCATGGGTTATTTATATATTGGAGATGGATGTTTAAATTTAACTTCTAAAGAGGTGGATCCTTCACAGAACCTTGAGTAAAAGCAGCCTCTGAATCTCACACAACCCTTTTGCAGAGGCATCTCTTTATCCTTGATCTGGAGGCATTTTGCTACTTGGCATTATTTCACAGGAGAAATGTGTGTTTTCCTTTCCAGCTCTCCCTCTGGATCAATGAGAAGATGCTTACAGCCCAGGATATGTCCTATGATGAGGCAAGGAACCTGCACAGCAAATGGCTGAAGCATCAGGCGTTCATGGCAGAGCTTGCTTCCAACAAAGAGTGGCTGGAGAAGATTGAAAAGGTAACTAAAGAACATCTGAAAACTGCCCTCGTGGTTGTCAAAGGTGGTTATACGTAGGGATGAGATCAGTTCCTCTGCAGTGTTGGTGTTGAGTCACCTCTGCAGCTAAGGCAAGAGGAGGTTTCATTGCTGTGGAAAGTGTTCATCACACTGTCTCCATCTAACCCATTTTACTCCTCATGGGTGTTCAGTGCTTTTATCCAAGACATTCTCACCTAGCAGTCATTGGTTAAGTTGCCAATTAAGTTTTGTCCAGTCTTTGTTTAGGGGGAAGGCACAACCTGGTTTTCCTACCCAAAGGGGAAGAGGTGCAAATGTTGTGATTTGAGCTGGTAAATCTGAAGTACTTCCTGGGACATGACTGAATGTAGGTGGATAACTGAGCTGGACTCCCTTGTTGTCATGCTGGTTTTCATTCATTCGATCAGGATGCCTTTCCCCATGCAAAATCAGTGCAGGAGGTGAAGCACAGCCAGTTTTGTGATTAATTAAGGTTCACAGCTCTGTATCAGGTTACTTTGAAGGCTTTAATATGCTGTGATGAGCTGTTCTTTTCCCCCCATTTCTTCTGTGCAGCTCTGGAGCACTAAGGAGGTCTCCTCTTTAGCTCTGACAGTGGGTTTCTGTTCAGTGTAAGTTAGCTTAATTGCTCATTTCCTCTCCCACTTTGGCACTCTGTATCCCATTAGAGGCTTTTCTGTGATCTGCAAATAGCAGTACCCTTTAATGATGTAATTAGAAGTCTGCTCTTAGTGCTGGAAGTGCGTTTTAGTGACGTTAATACACCCTCACCCTTTGCCTCTGAAAAACTGGGTGGCAGCAAAGCACCAGAGTTGTGTGTGTCTGGCAGGCACTGTGTTCATGTTACCAGTGCTCACAGACAGCTCAGGTGTTGGGCTGGGAGTAGCATTCCTGTCTGAAAAGGTTTTGTCCCTTGTCAGCACCACCTGGGTGCAGAGGTAGAAGTATAATGAGAATAAAGAAAATATTTACAAAAGGAGTTCAGTCTTTGTAAAGGCAAAAGGTATCTGAAGTCCAGGTGCTCTGCTGGTGCTAAGGACAGGCTTCTTCCCAGGGAAGATTGTTCCTCTCTGGTCTTAGCTTAGACTCAAAGTAATGGCTGTAACCCATCAGCAGGACCTGCTCACAGCTGGGGTTTGGTGCCATAAGCTCCCTCTCCCCACGTTCTGCTGGGTCTTCATCACTCTCATGGTGCCATGGCCCACAGAAGCTGGACACCCAGCATGTCCCTCCTGTGGCACATGGCACACACGGGGCAGCTGGCTCCATTCCATCTGAGCAGTGGCTCCAGGAGCTCCCACAAAGGACCATGTGTGATGCAGAAGAGAGAGGAGGCCTTGCTTGACCTTCCCATTGCCAAGAAACCCTCTTCCTGGCAACAGACAGACCTGGGAGCTGATGTTCTGGAAGGAGTCACTGGATAATTGGCGATAGGAAGTGAGTGGTTGATGCTGCCAGCAGATGAGGAGTCCTGAGTGCTTTCTAATCAGAGTAATTTCACTGACAGTCTGGGAGTGCTCCTGAGGAGGTACCATTTTGTTGCTCTTTGCTTTGCAGGAGGGAATGCAGCTCATTGCAGAGAAACCAGAGACTGAAGCTGTAGTGAAAGAAAAGCTGACCGGGCTCCATCAGATGTGGGAAGAGCTTGAATCCACCACCCAGACCAAGGCTCAGCGTCTCTTCGATGCAAACAAGGCAGAGCTGTTCACCCAGAGCTGTGCTGACTTGGATAAGTGGCTGAATGGGTTGGAGAGTCAGATTCAGTCGGATGACTATGGAAAAGATCTCACCAGTGTCAACATTCTGCTGAAGAAGCAGCAGGTAATGGAGTGCAGGCTGCAGAGCGGGCAGACCGCAGGTGTCTGCACTGAAAGGCACCAACAGGGGGGTCCTTTCCATGGAGAAAAGGATTTGTTTGCTTTTCTTTCTTCCTGTTGTTGCATGTGTCTTTAAGAAGAACCAGAAATACATGCAGGAACAAATCATCAGTAAATTTCTTGATACAGTCTCTACCTTATAGAAAGTAAGGAAGTAAGGCCTGCCTCCCTTATGGTAATCTCTCTGCTCTGGCTACTGCTGTAGTCCTCCAGTCACCACTGGTTGTTCCCTCTCTCTACCTGGCTGCCTGCCTGGGTTTCAAACCTGTCTGAAGCTGGTCAGTCCCCCATTCCCTGCTGTAAAGGCAGCAAGGAGCAGCAAGGACAGCAGGGATCAGTGAAGCTCCTGTATACCATTATCTGTGCTCCAGGGTAACTTGTGAGTGACTGATGGAAGAGATTGACCCCTGTCGTTGGCCAGATTTGCCCTTTGCACAGGCAGGAGTGACTGAGGGATGGCAGCAGGTGGCACAATTGCAAATCTGTGTTTCTCCCCCTGTTTTCAGCACCTTTTTGCCATGTTTCTGTTTAGATGCTAGAGAATCAAATGGATGTCCGTAAGAAGGAGATAGAAGAGCTGCAAAGCCAGGCACGGGCCTTAAGTCAAGAAGGGAAGAGTACAGATGAAGTAGATGGCAAACGCCTTACTGTAGAGAAGAAATTTTTGGAGTTGTTGGAACCTTTGAATGAAAGGAAGGCAAACCTGCTGGCCTCCAAAGAGATCCACCAGTTCAACCGGGATGTGGAAGATGAAATTGTGAGTACAGGAGAAATCCTGTTCCCAGACAGCAGGGCAGTGTCACCCCTGTTGCAGGCTGCTGCAGGAGGAAACCTCTTGATAGCATGTTTGAGTGATGCTGCTGTTGGCATCTTGTGTGCACCAGCTGCATCTGCTGTCCTGTGCCTGGAGTTGTTTGCAACCCTTATCTGCTCTTCTTTTGCTTTCAGTTGTGGGTGGGAGAGAGGATGCCTATAGCTACTTCTACTGACCATGGACACAACCTCCAGACTGTGCAGCTGCTAATAAAGAAAAATCAGGTAAGTAGGTGCTGTTAGAGCTCCTGTTACTTCTCCTTAGTGCTGACTCCTTCAGGAAGGAGAGGCTTGGGGTGCTTCAGTGGTGGTGTGCTGTGGGGGCGTGTTCAGGGAGGGCACAGCCCCAGTTTGTCCCTTTGAGCTGGTGGCCTGCGTTTTGCTGCTCTCCTGAGTGAGGACCCCAGGGTGGCATTTCGTTGCTGTTCAGTGCAGTGTCTCATCAATCTGCTTCTCTCCCATGCAGACTCTTCAGAAAGAAATCCAGGGACACCAGCCTCGTATCGATGACATCTTTGAGAGGAGTCAAAACATCATCACAGAGAGCAGCCCTAATGCTGAGGCAATCCAGCAGAGACTGGCAGACTTGCAGCAGCTGTGGAACCTCCTCATCGAGGAGACGGAGAAACGCCACAAGCGCCTAGAGGAGTCTCACAGAGCACAGCAGTATTACTTTGATGCTGCTGAGGCTGAGGCCTGGATGAGTGAGCAGGAGCTCTACATGATGTCAGAAGAGAAAGCCAAGGTGAGCAGCTCCACAGTGACACCACTTTGGGTTTAATTGCTTAGCTAGAGGGGGGCAGGTGACATAATTTAATATGTCGCTAATGGAATGGTACCATAAATTTAATTCCCTGGTGAGACCTCAAGTGATCATCTCTCCTGTCTGTCATGACACCTCTGACAGTGTGGAGGATGGGCCTTGCTGTGCTGAGGCAGTGAAGGATCCTCAGCCTGTGGGCAGCAACTGTGTGCTTTCCTTTGCTCTAAGGTCAGAGTTACCAACACAGACCAGTTAGGTCAAGTTTCCTGTTGGTTTTGAATCAGTGGGAACAGCACAATGCCCCTGTCTGTGAAACAGGCCTGATGGGCACTCAGTGGATGGCACTAGTCACCAGTTTTTACTCCCAGTTACATGAAACTGGAGTAACATCAGATCATACCAAGAGAGGGTGAACTTCTGCTTTTCACAGAGGCGTTAGTGAGCTGTATCTCATTTGTTCTGTACAGAACTGCACTGTGCTCACTGCCCTGGTGACAGCACACTCAGCTTTCTGTCAGTGTAACACAGTCCCTGGGTCTGGATCAGCATTTCTCCAGGCACTTGGTGGAGGATCCTTTGGCATGGCCTCTGGGGGATTTCTTTTCCTTGACCAGACTGTTGTTGAAAAGCCTGACAAGTGACGTTCCTAAAACTGTTCCATTTTTCTGAGCCCTGCACAATCACCAGTGTTGTGTAAACACACAAAGAGCTTCACAGAAGAGGAACTTCAACATGCTCACTGCACAGCTGATGTAATTTCATTCTGCATCCCAGAGGGGTTGTTGCATTTGCTCTTTCACTTGTTATTTTGCTTTCTGTGGGTACCATTTGCTGTGAACTCAGCTATTAATATACCATTGTCAGAACAACATGTCTTCAAGCTGTACTTGAGAGCAGGTTCTTTATGAATCTCTCTGGCCACCACTTTTTGTTCTCACACCAAGCTGAACTTTGTGTGTGGTCCTTCTCTGGAGCAGAGCACTTGACTGTCACTGTCTGTCACCATTACAGGATGAACAGAGTGCAGTGTCCATGCTGAAGAAACACCAGATTTTGGAACAAGCTGTAGAAGACTATGCTGAAACTGTGCACCAGCTTTCAAAAACCAGCAGAACTTTGGTTGCAGATAATCACCCAGAAAGGTATTAACTGCCATTTTTAATTGGATTATGTGCTCTTTTAGTAGTTCTGTCACTTCACTAGATTGTTTTGACACATAAGGACTACAACAAAGAGTAAGTAGTGTAGAAGAGTGCCAAGAGGAAGAGGAGTTCAGCCTCACTCAATTCAAGATGCATGTTGGACCACCCTGATTTGGCCAGAGAAGGGGTCCTGAGGAGGGTCAGTCCATGGAGCTGCTGATCTCTGGGTGGTACTGGACACCTTCAATAAATGTCTGCTATATGCTTTATCCAGCCTAGCAGAGTCAGGTCTGCCGGCCCACTGGGTCTTACGAGGAGGTGTAGCAGCCCTGAGAGACATTCTCACTCTTTCATCCAAATTTTATGTCCAGCCCAGAGGATGTGATGTCCTGTCCTAGCACAGTGCTCCCCAAGATCAGCCTCCTTTTTGTGAAATTCCGAGTAGATTCAGAGACTGGAATATGATGCTTTAAACACGGGCACATTAACATCTTGGTTTTGCTGAATTTATCTCAACTTTCATAAATGACTTTCCCTGTGGGAGAACTCAGGAATCTTAAGAACTGTTTTGCAGCTGAGGAAACAGAATTCCTCCCTAGCTGTGACTGCAAGGCTGGTTTGACTAGCAGGGTGATGTATTTAACTGCTCTGCCTTCACAGACAGGCAGATGGGTAAGAGGATGCTCTCTGCCCCTGGTGGAAGATTGCTGTTTAACTCAAAAGCACTCTCTTGTGGTCATGAGAGCTGATTTCCTCCCCAAACTGTCTGAGTACTGAGATAACTCATCAGTTTTACATGCCAGAGGGAAGGCAACTTTGACAGGTCTGTGTGTGTCAGACAAAATATAGGCAAAAGGCACAAGTAGAAAAGTTAATCAGTTTTGGAAATGCCAAACTGTAGGGAGCAAGAAACCCACAAGTACTTCTGAACTTTGAAGCAGACTTTAAATGAAAGTGAAATGCTATTGCCTCAGCAGCTCAGGTCCTTCCTGTAATTTTGGGAGAAGACTGTGGTGTGAACTGTGGTCAAACAGATGGAGAGCATTGGTCAAAGAGCTTGGTTCCCAGCCTCGTTCTCCACAGCCGGGGTGGTGGGGTGGGGTTACATGTCCAGGGCAGAGCTTCCAGCTCGTGCAGTCGGCTGTGCCAGCAGAGGACGTGTCCAGTGTGCCCGAGCCCAGGCCACGCCTGCAGCAGACGTGCATTCTGTGGGTTAAATACCCCAAGGGTCATTTTTTAAATCCCTCGTAGGGTTTTTTCCCAGTTTCTGTTCATGATTTGTAAAAGACAGTGACCCCCTGCTCCCTGACCTTCCCAGCGAGCGCATCAGCATGCGCCAGTCCAAGGTGGACAAGCTGTATGCAGGGCTGAAGGACCTGGCCGAGGAGAGGCGGGGCAAGCTGGACGAGAGGCACCGGCTGTT